CATTACTCAGTTCATCTTACTAAATATGATATTAAGGTCATATGCAAGAGGAATTATATTCCAATCTTTTAATCCAATTGAACAAATGAAGCTTTCTTCTGTTGCCAAATGATCAAACGCTACGGCCAACTGACAAAACACTGTTAAAACGGTGCTATTTTTTAAATTTGTCTTGACTGATTATTTGGATTATGGATGGCCCACGTGGCAACCCCAAATAACTCTTTGGCCTTGGCAAGGATTGTACTAGTTAAGGAAGGATGCGGACCATCTGATTGAATGGGTGGCTGAGATTTTTTCTTGAGTTATTAACCTAAATGACTAGTGTTTGACGGTTTTCATTCTTGGCTCTTGAGTTTTTCTCTTTCATCTCTTTGCCTACATGCGATCTTCTTCTTCCATTCTGTTTTTGGTCGAGATCATCTCAGTATAATCGTTGTTTTTGAATTGATCCTTGAAAAACTATCTTACTAAGCAGATTCATAGACTTTGACGACTTCATGATCGGCAATGACAACATCATCACCAAGTACCGTGTACGATGTAAAGCGTACACCAGGGTGCACCTGTTCCGTACACCACCACATTAATATATGGTGTGATAGTGCGAAAGTAGGCCAAGAACCATGATATCCCAACGGCTGCCCTGCCACAAAGCATACTCGAGAGAACCTTCGTTTAAGTTTAACAACAAAGATATTGCATGCAAATGCAGAATTAACCACACTTGAGACAAAGGAGTGGTCAAATAGGTACTGCACCACCTCAAAATAGAAAGACTAAAGGCCAGCGATCAGTGGCTTCCTTGTGTTGTATTTCGTTTGAATTAGGCTTGTTAAGGTTGATAGTTAAAGGATTGGATATAGTTTTGTAGATCCACGCAGTCGATGATCAAAACTTGTATTCTGAACGGTTTGATGTACACGATACTCTCTTGGATGACATATTTGCAGTAGTGGAATGGGCTTCAGTCTCTTAGTCCCACAAATTAGGCCTATTTTCTAAATTAGGTCAAAATATTCTGTGTTTTTGGGTTTGATTTCGTTTATGCTCTCATATTTCTATTAGATCTGTTTTATTGATTAATATTTCATCAAGAAAACCCGACACAAACTTCTGAAGGTGTTCCTTAATCATATCCTCCTTTGCATCGTCTTCAACATTGTGTAGAACGAATTCTGTCTCAGGCTTGTAGCCAAATTTCTGAATTTTTCTAAAAAGTTGTTCCAACTTTAAGTATATCCTCATTATCTCAGGGTGAAATCGATCACCCACAAGAAACCGATGAGTTTTGTTTCTCTGTTCAATCAAACTGCATCCCGGGGTTCTTGCAACATCTCTTTCCTTCATATTGTAGCCCTTACCTTTGAAGCATAGGTCCACTGACCAACAGCAGCATATATGCTTGATAGCTTTACATAATTCCACCGATGAGAAGGGTCTATATCGAACAGTCCCTTCAGCAAACTCCCTGCGACACCAATATCCCACAACTTTGGAGCGAATAGCCTGGTGTGGCTTAACATCAGTCCGTCTCATTGCTTTAAAAACTTCCAATGCTTCATTAAAAACGCTGTTTTGAACTAAAACCATAACAATTGAGTTCCAAGAAACAAAATTTGGCTTTGGCATGGCATTTAATAATCGTCTCGCCACATCTACATAACCAGACTTCCCATTCATATTGATGAGTGAATTAACCACCTTAATTTGATTATCAAACCCGTTTTGATAGCTAAATCCAAGAATGTAATCGCCTCTCCATGTCTACTATGCACTGAATGACAAACAGTAGGCATTTATTCAGGTCGTGCCTCCAAACATTTTTTTCATTTAACAAATCAGTAAGATTTTGTGTTCCTGCAGAATATATCTACCTAAAGATCGAATGGATATGAAGATCAAATCAGAACATACCAGAGTGCTATTACTTCTCCAACTGCTTAAACTTCATGTCAACCTTTGTACTAAAAAAGAATCCCAACAGATATCAATAATTCTACTTGTATGAAGTCCCCTTACAAAGTTGGTTGACAAAAGATGTGTACAAAATTCAGGCCATTGATTTCAAATGATTTAAAAACTTGTTTTTGAAATGATTGGTGTGGAATGTGAATGTTATTTTGTCAACCTACTTTGTAAACTATGTTTGTAAGTGTAGCACAACTCAATACCAACAGATATAGCTTACTCCAGGTCATTTGAATTGAGACAGATTTTTGAGTAACTACACTTTGAAGTTTGAACACCCCTCACTTCCACCTACCTACCCTTTGGTGGCGTAATTAAGTTTTACCTGTATAAATTTAGAACTTGTTTGATGGGACCACCTACCCTTGGGTGGGGAAACTAAGTTTTACCTGAATAAATTTAGCACTTGTTTGGTGGGGATTAAAATAAAAATTTTAGTATATTTTGATAAAAGTTGATAAAATGTGTAATTGAAAAGTTGTGAGATCCATATAATATGTGGTTGAAATTAATTGTTGACTTTAACTTAAATTAAATTTCAAATTTTAATCAGTACCAAATAGGTGCATAATGAACCTTAGCCATTCAAATGTGTGTGTGTGTGTGTGTGAGAGAGAGAGAGAGAGAGAGAGACTGACTGTCTGACTGCGACATTTTGAGTTAGAGAATGCAACAAACTTGCAAAACATTTGTGAAAACATAAATCATTCCAAGCTCATTCCAAATCAATTCAATTCAATGAAAACAAACTATGCCTTGATTGGGCCCCATTATTTGATAAAAATAAATTTTGAAATAGTGATTTTTTGAAAAATGTGTGGTTAAAAAGTAAGAAAAATTTTTAAATTTATGTGTAAAATTATTTTATTCAGAAAATACGTGATTAAAAATGAGTTTTTAGTAAAATGTATTATTGAAAAATGGAACTCAAAATGTAATCCAAACTCATTTCTCTATCACTTTGAATTTTGGTTAAAAAATAATAATGATTTGAACTTATAAGTTACTCTCATCGACTAATGGTTACCTTTCAATTTTCAAAAAATAAAAAATAACTAGCTTCTTTTGTCTCTTTTTCTTTTTTAGTCATTGGTCCATGACAAAGATCAAATTTTTATTGAATACGTAATAGAGTTGTCTTAAGTTTGAACTAAGGTAGCGGCATGAATTATGTAGAATAGATGGGTCCATTTTTTCTTCTATAAATGGGTAGATGATGAAAGTGGTCTTTTTTAAGACTGGTAGATATGCTTTACAGATTTGTAAGTAGATGTGTTTCTCCAATCGATTGTTTACAATTATACCATACAAAAACCACGATGATTCAATTAAGCCAATCGAGGATTCTCCGAGTAAGAAACATTTAGCCTCTAGGAGAATCTTAGCTTGGATTGAAAAGAATTTAGTGGAATGCAAGAGAATGAAACCCAAAGAAAATATACATCTAGATTATCTACAATTTTCGATGAATCCAACTCATGTGATGCAGAGGAATTAGACTTTATGAAAAAATGGGATCGATGCAAGTAGAAATAGGCAACTTCCCAATTTTTGGAGAAATTTTGGGGTTGTCCGTTAAGCTCCTGTTGTAGGGCCAATTTGGGGGCATATTCCTTCATTTAAGCGTTCGTTTATGCGTTTTTTCCTTTTTGGTAATTTTTGTTTTGACTATATCTCAATCAAATTAAGTCGGATTTAAATTCCGTTTGTTGGAAGATAATCCTTAATATTAGGACTCAATTTTAGTCATTATCTCGATATTTTTTCATTTTTGGAAAAAATCTTTTATATTATTAATTTATTTATTTTTTGAATTTTACTAGGGTTTTCGTTATATAAAGCATTTTAAGCCCATTGTGACTGTATTGATTGACAGAAGTAAAATTTTTGTGAGTTTTTCATTTTTGTAAGATTTGTTCATCTTTCCTATAAACTTCCGCTAAATCACCTACATTTTGAACTATAAGAGGTGTTGCATTAGACAACAGGGCTGACGATACCATTTTGGCTCCTCTGTGGCAAGTAGGCAGCATTGCAATGTGGCAATACCCTACACCCCACATATAGCTTCATGATCAGCATGGAACGGAAAGGAGGAGCAAGAAAAGGAGGTGGAGAAGAGATAATAACGGGCCAAAGCCTACTCGAAGTGGCTATGAATTCTTCTTTGCAAAAAAAGCATTCTATGCTTAAATCTCTCTATCTAGAGAGAGAGAGAGAGAGAGAGAGAGAGAGAGAGAGAGAGAGAGAGAGTTGACAAAGATGATAGGAGAATCATGGAACTAGCTCGCTCCTCAAGAGAGAGTGGTAAGTTCATTAACCAAAGATCTCATGCATGTCATGGGCTTCTTGGTTCATACGGAGGGTAGATTGCAGAGTGCTAGATAATATTAGGAAAACAAATATATCTAAAATTCGGTCGAATCCCATTTAATAATATTCTCAAACATTGTATTAAAAGTACTTAAATTTCTTTAATTCGATAATGATATATATTATTAGGGTCGCAAAACCATAGCTTGAAGGACAAGGAGAGGTACTAGAACGAAATCGAAGGGTACAACGAAAGAACTAAGATCGAGCAAATCCATTGAACTCGATGAATATAAAGGAAGCAACAAATCCCGACATGTGGATTCTCTCAAAGAACGTAGAAATCACGTGGTGTTCACAGCTAAATTACTACAATTTTTGCTCAGTCGGGAGCCTTATTTTTCATGCCATTGTCGTTTCCTTTCAGTTACCAATAACCTTCTCATTCCCTTTCAACTCTTTTGCACTAAAGTCAAGTGAGTTTCATAAACTGCATGGAGCTTAGAAGGCTAAAACTTATCAGGAATACGTTTGTTGTTTGCTGGTGTTGACATGGTCAGCTTTCTTCAAGTTTGAGATAGTTGAATAATTATGCTAGAGCAATAGACCCACATATTGATCATAATTGGAGAGCAAGGTTGTGCAGGAATCGTGCACCAAGGTGAGGCTAAGGTAGGGCTAAAATCAGCCAAACCTGTTCATCATAAACAAATCCAGAACAGCAAAATTTTTAAGAAAATGAATCACAACAGCATCACTAAAACAGTGAAATCAAAATTTCAATGCATGTCCAGCTAAGTTTAGCTTCCTTTTCGGCTATAACTAATTCTAACTTGCCATCATCCCTAGAAACTTAAGCCAAAGGGCAGACCATAAGAGAAGTTTCATCCCAATACATTTTACATGAAAGACAATCATGGCATAATAACCCCAAAAACCAAGAGAAAGAGGAAGAGCGAGAAAAACAAGCAATAGTGATACAACTATTCTACCATCCTGTCCTCTGTTTGCTTCTGAGAAACCTTTGGCAATGTGAGTGAGGGCTCTTTTTGGAGAGCAGCAGGAGCTTTGACCATGTGAATGCTCTGCTCCAGTTCCTTTGTAGCTTCTGTTAGTACCTGGGCCTTCTTTCCCTTCATCCTGTTAATTTTCCAAAGTCGTCAATAAAATGCAAATAAGAAATGTGGCTTAAAGCATCTTTTGCTAAGCCTAAAAAGTTCACTTATAAATTAACCATTTTGATAGTAAGATTGAATTAATTTTGAAATAAGAAACATTATTTATTAAAAATAAAATTTTTTTTTTTTTTAAGCTTAGCCAAACATGCTCTATCAAGACACATCAGGTAAGAAGAAAAACCTCTTTGCATGGTGTCGGGCATCCCTGTCGACTCTGACTTTATCAATTTTCTTAATGGCCTTAAGAGTCTCCTCTGCCACATTCCTGTCATATCTCTCAGGCCTATTCCGTTTCCTCTCAAATTCAAACGTCGAATCCTTTGCAATTTAATATGCAATAGCAAAAGGGCAAGTGGCAACCAGAATAAATGTAAGCTCGAAATAATTTAGCTGAGGAGAGAAAACAGTCAAAATGAAGCCGCTAGGAATAACTACCTGAGTCATGTCCTTTCCATGCACCCGTCTGTAAGCCTTGGTCCACTTAACTTTGCGAGGGTTTCTCTTCATTTTGAAGTTTTTGTGGCATTTAGATCGACAAAATCGAAAGACCTGGAAAAACAGATTGCTAGAATTTATGCACACATAGCATTTACAAATCAAATAGAATAAACTATCTGATGAGGACATCCAATTTTAATTAATTTTAGCAATTTTAATTATTTTAGTTGGAACTTAGGTTATTTTAATTTTATGGACTTTTGTATTGGGCTTGGCCCTAGGTTTGCATTATTTTTCCAGTATTTAAACCTATCTTACATTGTTATTTGAAATGATGAATTTGATGAAATAAAGAGTTGGCTTCAGCCGTTTCTCCTCTCTCCCCGCCTCTGCCTTCTTCTTCTCCTCTCTTCTCTCTTCTCTCTTCTCTCTTCTCTTCTTATTATGTTTACTGAGTTATTCTACATCAAATTGGTATCAGAGCAAAACTTGGGTAAAACTTCGTCTACAAAATCAATTTATACACACAAGTCATTCTGCAGCAACTCTCGTCATTTTTTTCACTCAAGCACAGTATTCCACTGCCAACAAACTAACACACTGCCATAAACCAAATATTAACCAAGCCGAACCCCCAACCCAATCTCCATTCAATCGAATTCTCAGCCGCCGCCGACCGTGACCCAAGCCTCCTATCCCACTACAACCCAATTCAAACTGCCGCAACACAGGGAACGACTTGTTTCATTGCAGAAGTCAACCGCCACCACAGCTTCACATTCTCTGTCGCCAGAATTCTAACAGCAAGAGGGGCAGAAGTGCGAAAACAGAAAACACACCACCCAAGCCAGCCGCCCGTCGGGAGTTCATCAATCTTTCAACCGTCGACTGCTAGTAAGCCGGCAACCCAAGTAATTGAGACTCTCCTTCGAGCCAGCCAGCATCCCACAGCACCGCGACTCCCACAGCACCGCCAGACAGAACCATACCCGACTCACCGTTGCCCACCACCTGCAATCCATGCGACCACCACTAACAGTCACAGTGACCCAGAAACTTGACCACCCCGCAACCGCAACCGTAACCGTGGCCTCTGTTCGTGTTCTCCAACCATTGGTCACCCTCACAGTCGACGCAGTCATCATCGCCTCCCGTCGACACCGCTTCTGTCGTCTCATGAATATTCAATAGGGCTGGACGAATTGTGGGTATTTGATTATCAAATTGGACTGCTCCTTGGTAGTTTGGGTTTTGTATTGTGAGCCCAAGTGTATGATTTTCAGTTTAGGCCCTGCCTTAATTTGTTTTGGGGCCTCTTATTAATGTTTGGGCTTGATTTGTAACAGTTTGATTATCTGATTTTGTGAGTTACCAAAAAAAAAAAAATAAATAA